AACTACTAATTGCTAGTAGAAAACTACTAATTCATGGAGTAAGTCGTATTTTTTACTATTTCAAATTAGTTTTTTACTACAAATTAATCAAAACTGTTACTAATTCAAATGGTAAACGAATACGCACTCTTTCATTAGTAGAAAAACTACTAATTCAGATTTAGAGAGTACACTGAAAAAAAAATTTATTTGATTCAAATACCGGTGTATTTGGTTATTATCAAATAAATATTTACTTAAATCAAATATTTCTTATTTGAATCAAATAAATGGTATTTTCTTCAAATACTGAAATATTTTATTCAAATATTATATATATTTGATTCAAATAAGAAATATTTTTGATTCAAGTAAATATTTATTTGATAATAACCAAATACATACCGGTAAACGGAAAAACTTTGTGCAAGAATCATTCCTAAATTTGTTCAGGAACTGAGGATATGAGAATAATTTAAGAAATCTTATTTATATTTTCTTTGAAAAATTCTAAACAGTATTTCTATAAGAATTGTAGAGAAATTCAAGACAACTTCCTAAACTCACTACAGAAAGTCTTGAACTTGTTTTAGAAAAAATTTTTATGTTTGCGAGAAAAAAAATTTACTCTGGGAGGACTCGATCCCACGTCCTCGAGAGTCCAAAAACTCCGCTTTACATCTCTCAGCTACCTTAGCAGCTTATGGTATTATGCATTGGAAACGTATTTGACACAACCAATTTCTGCCTAGTGCTTGGTTACTGTACACGTGTCTTCCAATGTCATAATAAAAATACAAGTATTTTCTTCAATGATTTTTGTATTTTTCTGTAAATTTTGCACAATTTTTCTCATATCCTCAGTTCCTGAACAAATTTAGGAATTAATCTTGAACAAAGTTTTTCCGTGTATTTGAATCAAATAAATTTTTTTTTTTCAGTGTAAGATACTAAGTTTCAAACAGTGGGAATCTTGTCGACAGTCAGGGGATTAAAGCAATAAGGACGAATTTTAAAGAAAATAATAAAAAGATTTTAACTGTTCTATAGTTATAATTTAAGAGAAAATAAAATTTTCCCTATATCGATGTTAAAAAGTCTTTAAACTGAATTTAATAAAGGATTTGATGTATTTATTAAATTTTTAAATATTTTTTTTATGTAGGTACATGATGTAAATATGTATATTTATAGTAAAACTGGGTAGATATTTGAGTTTATGTGAGGTATGTGTCTAGGTCAAGCGTCAACTTGGTGCTAGTCACGAAACAATCATTCTGTTGTTGTTTTGCAATTGGAGAATCAGAGCGAACGTCGAGTTTCCAGTATAGTTTGTCAACGATAGAGGAACGCCCAATTCGAATATGTACGTGAAGTACAATCAGTGTTTGTCTCTATATACATATAGTTTTCTACAAATAAATAAATAAATAAATATATATATATATATATATATATATATATATATATATATGTATATATATTCATTCATTGCAAAACCAACTGTTTTTATTTCTCACCGAAAACTGTTTTCGTTTGGGACACCAAAATTTGCGAAGTTTTTGAAACCCGTTGATCTGAATCGGTGCAAATCCTCTTTGAAAATACTGTTACAACTAGAATACTAGTGAAACCTTTGCATTCTTGTTCCTACAGGAGGGACAATGCAATCAGTTTCGTCGAACAAACTTTTGTATATATATATATATATATATATATGTATATGCATATATGCGTGAGATGGAACTTCATTTGCATAGAGGCAAAAACGACGTTTGTTCTCTGGTACATGATTGTAATTTATTGTTCTATGGTGAATTTTGTGAGAAATTTCTCTCTGAATAATTGTTTTTTGTTGACAATAAAGAATTTAACATTTTATTTAGATACAAGTCTGTTCATTTATTTTTTGGTATTACAAAAAGTAATTTTTCAAATACATTTTTTTATAATATAAATATATAAATTACTTTAGTAATATTTTTATGTTTGTAATTTGACCAGAAAACCTGGGCAAAATCCCAATTAGGGTGTTCATTATAGATTCAAAAGAGGGGCAATAGTCAGAGCCTTACTAGTTTTCCTATACGTATTTAACATTTATAAAATTAGTTTTTGTAAACAAATTTTTTTGACAATTAAATCGGATTATTTTATACAAGTATTTTAATAATTTTTTTTTTTTATTTTAAGGTTATAATTTATTTATATTTCGCGCTCCCACCTCCAATATTTTCCACTTTAATAATTAATTTTATAAAGGCTTGCAAGTATTAAAATTATTAAAATTTTATCTAAATTTTAAGGTTATGTTCGTTTCTTGATTAGGGGAATTTGAAGTTATGTTTGTCGGACATTGCCTCAAAGCCAAAAGTCCCTTGACCTATGTCCTTGAATTTTGAGGTTATGTTTGACCTATGACCTTGAATTTTGAGGTTATGTTTGAACTAAGACCATGAATCCTAGAAACCTATGAATCCAGGAGACCTAGGACTTTGAATTTTGAGGTTATATTCGTTTTAATACTAATACAGGTAGATATATTGGTCATTCCACCTCACTTCACCGCTAGGTTAGAGGTTAAAATCAGAACTAAAATACTAATTGAGCTATATATGGATCATTCAATGTCAAGAGTAACCAACCTAAGACCTATATTGTACCCACATAGCACCGAAGATTTAATAAATATTAAGATAAGATAATTTTTGTTTGGTTATATACTGTCAAAACAAAAAATCCAGTTTTAAATTATCTCGCCGTTTTCCGCAAACCAATAAAATCACTTGTAGCTTAAGGGCAAGATTTTTTTTCCAATCATAGTTGCTCGTATAGCTCGGTTGGTTAGGTATTGCGTTTGCGTTCGTCGAACCCGTGTTCGATCCCCGGTCCCCCAAATTTATTTTAAAAATTAATTTCGTTATTTAAAGTCTCTAAAAAATTGCTTAATCAAGTATGAGTCCCTAAATTTAAGAAATTATTATTTTTTTTCATTTGTGAATACTAAAATTTCTTAAATCAATTTATTCATTAAACTGATTCAAATTAAAGATATAATTTTTTTAATTATATTATTATTATTAATACAATTAATATTTTATGATTAGATAATTTTAAAAATCCAGCTATCTGGTCGAACATTTAACCAATATTTTTTTCAAGCTTCAATCAAGGTTCGAGCTGAACCTTTAACGAATATTTAATTTAAAGCTTCACTCAAGTTTCGAGCCGAACCTTTAACGAATATTTAATTTTAAGCTTCACTCAAGTTTCGAGCCGAACCTTTAACGAATATTTAATTTCAAGCTTCACTCAAGTTTCGCGCTAAACATTTGCTCAAGTGCGGACATTTAAATATTTACTATAGCTTTATTTAACATTTATTCTCAATACTGCGAACATTGAAAATAAATATTTAATAAATATTTAGTAAATCTTCGGTGCTATGTGGGTACTTACCATGTCAAAAACATAGGTCTTAGACTGGTTACTTTTGACGTTGAATTTTGAGGTTATGTTCGCTTTAACCTATGTTTTTAACATATGACCTTGATTTTAAAGGTTATGTTTGTTTTAACCTACATTTTTGACATTCTGAATCAGCATTTGCGGTTTTTTTTATATTTAAAAAATAGTCGAATACAAATAATAAATGAAACAATAAATTTCTATAAGAATTTTTAGCAACATAAAAGGAAATTGAAAATGTCATATATATACATAATCGCAATTTGGGTAATCAAAATAGAAATGTAGAACACATTTGAAAATAAAAGAATTGAGAATAGTGCTTTCAATAAAGCATGCACTATATATATATATATATATAGGAAACAATTGCATAACTTTCTCCGTTGACTTGTATGGCTACCAACCACGTGATTAACTTACTCCGAAGAGATTTATGTTTGGTGGTATTTTCAACTGACAGAATTCATCGCAAAATGAGTTAGGCGAACTAAAGTGAAATCAAATGGTATAGACTATGAAATATAGCAAAACTTTCTTTTATGTCCATGAGCGCAAGCCGATTTAATGTCGTATCGTTAATCGAAAAAAAATTTTGACGAGCTATATAAAGTCCTCCTATATTATACACATTGATATTATTGATTTTCAACTTTTTTTTTCTGACATGATGACTGTTTTCTGATAATAATAAAAAAAAAATAATAATAAATTTTTTCCGAGTTCAAAAAATTGTTTTTTTGAAATTTAATTTTCAAAACATAAAATCGAAAAAAAAAATTATTGGATTCTTTAGGCTGATTTCACAATAGCTAAAACGCATCGTTTTGAAAATGATTTTGTAGAACGAGATATGCGCGCGCATCCATTGCCAACTGTCAAGAAAAAAATTTATTTCAAAAATTTATATTTATTTCAAATTACAAAAAAAAAACATTTTTTCTGCGATATAAAATTTTTATTTTTTTTAAGAAAACAATTTTTTTTTTGATAATTTCAATAAAATTTACAAATTAAAATTGTAGAAATAGTGGAACACGTGAAATAATTTTTTTTTCGACAGTTGACACTGGATGGGTGCGCATTGTCTCTTCCTAAAAAAGAAAACGATGCGATTTTGTTGTGGAAGCACCTTAACGCCAATTTATGGTAATTTCACACCTTAATAAAATTTGTTAGTTCTGCAAATGTTAAATGTAGAAAATTGACGCATACACAAAAGCAATAAAGTACAATTTCCGTCTGTTATTTCATAACATAACCTCAACGCAACGCCAATTTAAATACCAACGTCAAATCCTACTACTACTACTACTACATAACCTCAAAAGCGCTTTATTTGTAAAAGTAGTTGCTTTTACTTTTATATATTTATCTAATTTAATAAAATTTTCATCGAGCACAATTTATCAAAACAAAAATTAAAATAAATTCTTATAAGTGATCGAAAAAAAAAAATAATATTAAAAGCGTAGAAGGTAAACAAAACTATAATAAAAAAAAAAGAATGAGAGAAGAAGAAAAAAAAGTTGTGATAAAATAAAAACACTCACCATTAAGATAGAAGTAACTGATGTTATTGTAGAGATTGGTGACAATTGGCTTGACATTATCGAATGTCATCGTCTTGAGAAGATTGTCCCTGAGATCAAGAAAGTTGACGCCAGGTGCTTGACTGAGAAAGTCTGGATCAAGTGCAGCGAGTTTATTTTCACTTAGTTTCAATACCTTTAAATTTCTCATACCGGCCAATGCTTTTTGTGATATATATTCAATCATATTTTGATCGAGTTGAAGTTCTTGTAATTCAGGCATTTCCATAAAGCTCTCCTCACCAATCATATGCACTAAATTATTACGTAAGTCAAGCTTTTGTAAACTACGTAAACCATTGAACATATCGCGTGTTATAACACTAATTTGATTGCCATTTAATTCCAATTCTTGAAGTGTATTTAAATATGAAAATGCTTGTGCATAAATTGTTGTTATATTATTTTTATTTATCATCAATTTTTTTAACGATGGCAAATTCACGAACGATAGTCTGTAAAAAAAAAAATGAAAAGATTAAAAATATTTATTAGTTTTTATGAAATATTATTCTAACCTTATTTTTTATATCTATTATTATTATTATTATTATTATTATTATTATTATATTAGGGTTTTATGGCCCTGGCCCAAAATCCTTAGTTTTGCTTTGGTGTCCGTTCGTCTGTCCATCGGACAGACATCGTCTGGCAACTCGTACGGTTGCCATGGTAATAGTTACCATAGCAACCGTTTCCATAACAACGGCTTCTATAGCAACCGTTGCCATGAAAACTATTACCATAGCAACCGTTTCCATGACAACCATTTCCATAGCAACCTCTTCAATAGCAACCGTTGACATGGCAACTGTTACCATAACAGCCGTTACCATAGCAACCACTTCCATAGCAACCGTTTCCATGACAACCGTTTCCATAGCAACGGCTTCTATAGCAACCGTTTCCATGACAACCGTCGCCATGACAATCGTTGCCATGAATAATAATAATTCCAGTTCGTTTGAACACCCTGTATGTTCTCAAATAAATAAATAAATAAATAATAATAATAATAGTTAAATAAATGTAGTTTTGTAAATATACAGAGAAAAATTTTTTTTTATTTAATAAAATAAATTATCGAGATGAAAATACTTATGTTTAATTATTACCAAAAAGAAAAATTTAATCTCAACAAGAAAGTAGATGTACTATTTTTTATTTCTTTATTTCGTGTATAATTTAATAGGGTAATTTATAATTCTAATATTTAAAACTATAAAGAAGAAGTAAAGAGGAAGAAGACTACAAAAACCACTTCCTTCATTTCCATCTTCCCTTACATTATAGTATAAAAAATGAGGGGGTAAAAAAAGTTTATTGGAGCAAAAAATATACATTTTTCTCTCTCTTTCTCTATATATACATAAAAGAATTTACACACAGAAAAAACCTGATCTCAAATTGAGTACAAAATTTATACTCGATTTGATACGCATCAAAAATGAAACTGGTTGTCTCATTTCGAGTTCTAAGGTAAAAGTATCAAAATGAAACAGGTAAGTTTCATTTTAAGAAGAAGAAAAATGGAAAAATATTGTGAAATAAAGAATAATTTTGCACAAATACATGAAATATAATAATTACAAAGAAGTAAATAACACGCTAGACTTAATATATTTGATTAAAAATTGGTTGTAATCGCGTAATAAAATAATAAAGGAAATATGTTTTTAGGTTAGAAAAATGAAAACATGTGTTTTGACAATAGGAACGGTACTACCAACTTAAATAATAGCGGTAAATTTAAAAACTTATGAAATTAATTATTATCTACGTAAATAATAATAAATAATTTTTATTTAAAAACTTCTTAATATTCGTACTGGTCAAAATAATCTTTCTGGTGTTGTTGAAATATTAGAAAAATTAATTGAAATACAAAATTACTCTGCTTATGATGACAACTTAGAAATCTGAAATTCCAGCCAGTATCATTTTGAATAACATAAAGTTTGTCCCATACTCATTTCGATACCCAAAAGAAAATGAGTTGCAACAAAAATGAATCCAAGTTTTTTCTGTGCATATATCTTGACGATATAAATAAAATTTTATAAATTATGGTAATTAAAGAAAAAAAAAAATAAATTATTAAATTTTTCACTAACTCACCTTCGAATTTCAGTGATTTGATTTTCGTCCAAATTGATGAATATTAAATTTTTCATATTATTAAAAGCATATTCGGCGAGACTTGTAATTGAATTTCTCATTAGACTTATTTCATTCATTGCCGTATAATTAGAGAATACATTTTCTTGTAATTTATGAATTTTTGCATATTCTATAATTAAAATATGAACGTGTTTAAGTTGTTTAAGTACTTGTGTTGGAATATAAGTTAAATTTCCATTTGGCAATCGAACTTTAAATGTTAATTTTTCAGTGAAAATTTGCGATTCAAAATGATTCCAAAGTGGATTGACTTCTTCAAATTTATCAAATATCAAACAATTTGTGTCAGTTACATTTTTTACACCAACACCATTGCAATAGCAGAAAAATGGTGCTTCAAGTTTTTGTAAATCACAAATATCAACTTCTTTAATTTCTTTCACTTCCTTTGAGAGTTTCTTGATATTTTTTAATTTTGTCTTCGCACCCTCACTTGTGGTTATTGCTAAAATTAGCAAACAGAGTTCAAGGACAAATGCTATCCGTATGACGTCCCACATGATTTTTCTGAAATAAAAAAATAAAAAATTCTTTTGTCAATAAATATATAATCATACCAGACAGTGTGTATTAGTTTTTTTTTTTTTTTATAAATCGTGCAATCTATTCTTATAATTTAATACAATATTTATCAAGAAAATTGAAATTATATATAAAGTGCTAAAAAAGTATGGAAACGATTACATATATCATCTAAATGAATAAATTTTTGAAAAAATATAATTTAACTTAAAAATAATAAATTAGTTTTTATATTTTTCAAATATATATTTTATAGAAATGCATAAATTAAAAAAAAATAAATGTAAATAAATTATATCGTTTCCATACTTTTTCAACACTTTGTACCTATTTCTGTTTTATTTATATATATAAAACAGAGACACGACTGAAAAATAATCAAATATTCATTAAATTATTTACAATTTATTTATAAAAATTCATTTCAACTATCAGACAAAAAAAAAAATGATTTTAATTATAAATATTTGAAAATGTAGACAACATATACAATCTGAATGAATATAAAATTTTGCTCATTTTTATTTTACATAAAGTTTTAAAAATTAAATGAATCTGAAAAAAATGTATGTAGGTATATATGTGTGTGTTATGTTTGCAATTATATTTATTTGAGAACAATGCGATTAAATTATTTTTCATTTGTTTAAATATAAATTATAAAGAATTTTAAAAGGTGAGAGTAGAAATAAGAATTCTTAGTGTAATTTCTAAATTATTTAAAAACTAATTATTTGGATCGAATATTTTTAATTTGCGTCTAAAAAATATATATTTGATTCAAATAACTTCAATTATTTGAATTACACTTATTTAAATGAAAGAAATTTTAATTGGATCAAGTAAATAATTAATTGAATCTAATAAATAATTTTCTTAAAAATAAAATTAAATAAGTTTTTCAAATAATTAATTTGTTTATTTCAATAAAATATTTTGTTATTTGATGTAATTAAAAATTATTTGACACAACAATCTTATTCTATTGATTCAAGTAAACTAAATTATTTAATATAGAAGTAATAAATGTTTTCAATGCTATAGTAAGATTATTTTTTTGTAAGAAATATCAAAATATTTCGATGAAATAAATATTTTATTTATACTTTATTATTTTATTTATATTAAAAATAAAAATTAAAAACTGTTCAAAAATAACAAAATGGCGGCTATTTTAATAGAAAAACTAAAATTACTCGAAAAGGCCACTTTTTTTTTGCTCAAAAATTTTTTTGTAGATTGTCTTTACCGCGAAAAATATTTTTTATAAAAATTTAACTTGTGCCCGATTCTTGTAGAAGAGAACAAAATTTTTTTTGTTATTTTTTAAGAAATTTTTTTTTCTCTTATACCAAAATCGGGCACAAGTTAAATTCTTCTAAAAAAAATTGGGGTTTTTGAGTAATTTAAATTAAAATTTTTTTTTATTAAAATGGCCGCCATTTTGTTATTTTTGAAATTTTTTTTAATCTTTCCAATGTATTTTAAAAGAAAAATGAAAGCTCTTTCGCATAAATGCAAAAAGAGAAAAAAAATTATAATAGAAACAGGTTTTTGTTGCTCGAGTCAAAAAACCTTCTAAACCAGTGTTGGTAGTTAAGCAACCAAACTATTTGTTTAAATCAACCAAAAAATTTCGTTGAGTGCTTTTTGTTGAACAAACCAACAGTTTTTTTTCCCTAAAATTAAAAATTTTATCCTACCTTATTTCTTTTCATTTTATCTTTTTTTATTTATTTTATTATTTATTTATCATCAATTTAACGTTTAATTTATATTTATCCAATTGAAATATTTGTGGATTTTGAAAGTTCTCATCTCCACTTGGGATCGAACCTCTGTTTTTAAACTGTGAGTCGGGAGCTCTGACCACTGGACTACCCATCCTTGTGAGAGATTTAAACTAATTGTTCTCTTAAGGTACGAGCTGAGAGCGAATTAAATTATTTGGTTGTCGTAACCAAATTTTGGTTAGATTTGGTTTTTTAGACCAAACTATTTTCTTGTGTTAACCAAATTTTATAATTTTTAAAAATATTAAATAATCATAATTTTCATATATTAAACACAAAACAACAACGTCTGAATAAAAACAAAGTGAAAAATTGACAGAAATGTGTTTCCAGTCAATTAATAGTTTGATTGACGCGCAAAAGCGCAAAGGAGAAGGAAAGATGAAGTATTATACGAGGGGGCGAGTAAAGTCAGTGTCGGATAAATTCAATGTCGAGGCTTCTTCCTGTCTAGTCAACTTCTCTCTGTGTAACAGTCCTCAGGTTGACTGCGTTGGTGGGCGCATGCTTCATTGGTCTAGAAAAAGCGTTATTGCAGAGAAAACGTTGTCTCATCGAGAGACCCGAGAAATAGCTAAAAAGAGAGGGAGAGAGAAAGAAAGAGAGAAAAGTATGTGTGCGCAAAAAAAAAAAAAAAACGAAGAAAAAAAATAAAAATAAACAAGCGTTATGGTAAAGAAGAAAAGAAGGGTGACGCAAACTCTCTTTTTCTGCGACAAAAAACGAAGACGAGTCATGTTGTACGAACCGCTCGCGAACCGAAAAGGGACACCGCGACGACACGACGACGTATATAATACCTTTGCAAGAGAAAAGGTGACCCTTTGAAAAATTATCCTCCCAAGTGGAAAGTTGCATAATGCCTCCTGTGTGTGTCGCCGTGTCTCTCTAGCTTCTATTTTTGAATGAACTTTCCGCACCTTCTCTCTAGAATATCTGCATATGTGTATATATATATATATATATATACACCGCGTATGTGCATCTTCCTCTAATATATATACATATAGACGCGAGGACCACACAAAGAGCTTTTTGTTTCTACCGAAAAAGAGAAGATTTCATATATGAGGCAAAATTCCTGAAATGTCCGAACAAAAAATTAAAAGTTCTCGAATTTAATCCATACTTTTCTAAAATGTTGTTATTGTTGGTGAAAGTCTAAAAATCAATTATTATTGAATTTAATAAAATAGTTTTTGAATTACAACGTTTTTAATTTTTGACTTTTGAAGAAAAAAATTTTTTTCAATGTACAATATTTATAAGTAGAATGCATAAAAGTTAACATATATATAATGATTTTTAAAGCTTTTTTGCCGAGCTACACGCTGTTAATAAATTTTTTTTTTTTAATTAACATTTGACCTTGAAATTCAAGGTCAAAATGTTAATTTACGTTTATCTCAAAATCGGATTTTTTAAAATTATTTTTAACTATCTCAATGAAAAGCTTGACTAATTTCCTACAAAACATGTAATTTTCAGAGTGGGATCTTTTAAAGTTTTTGAGATATTAATTAATTAATTAATGTTTATAACAAATGAAATATTCTACAAACGAATAAAGTTACCGTAATTCTGAAGTTAGTAATTGAAAGTTAACGTAATTCCGCATCCAACGAGCACTATATGAAGTATTTTGGATGAGCAGATTGTTAATAAACAATTAGTTAACATTGCAATTGTTTATTAACAATCTACTTATCCAAAATACTTCATATAGGGCTCGTTGGATGCGGAATTAGCTTAACTTTCAATTGGTTAGTTGAGATTTACGATAACTTTATTTGTTAGTAAAATATTTTATTTTTTACTAACAACAAGCATCCAAAAGCCCTATATGAGGTATTTTTGTTCAATTTTAGTTAAATAACAATAAAAAATGAAATATCTTACAAACAAATAAAGTTATCGTAAATCTAAACTAACCAATTGAAAGTTAAGCTAATTCCGCATCCAACGAGCCCTATATGAAGTATTTTGGATAAGTAGATTGTTAATAAACAATTGCAATGTTAACTAATTGTTTATTAACAATCTGCTCATCCAAAATACTTCATATAGTGCTCGTTGGATGCGGAATTACGTTAACTTTCAATTACTAACTTCAGAATTACGGTAACTTTATTCGTTTGTAGAATATTTCATTTGTTATAAACATTAATTAATTAATTAATATCTCAAAAACTTTAAAAGATCCCACTCTGAAAATTACATGTTTTGTAGGAAATTAGTCAAGCTTTCCATTGAGATAGTTAAAAATAATTTTAAAAAATCCGATTTTGAGATAAACGTAAATTAACATTTTGACCTTGAATTTCAAGGTCAAATGTTATTTAAAAAAAAAAATTTTTATTAACAGCGTGTAGCTTGGCAAAAAAGCTTTAAAAATCATTATATATATGTTAACTTTTATGCTTTCTACTTATAAATATTGTACATTGAAAAAAATTTTTTTTTTCAAAAGTCAAAAATTAAAAACGTTGTAATTCAAAAACTATTTTATTAAATTCAATAATAATTGATTTTTAGACTTTCACCAACAATAACAACATTTTAGAAAAGTATGGATTAAATTCGAGAACTTTTAATTTTTTGTTCGGACATTTCAGGAATTTTGCCTCATATATATATATACGCAAAAGGCGACCTGAAATATAAATATAAATTGCTTTTTGAACAAGAAAAAGGCGGGACAGATTTCGTGTATGTGTGAAAATTCTATGGATGATAGCCGTTTATATTTTCAAGGACAATATACTAATTGAGTTCATCTTCATTATATTAGAGAATACTACGAAAAGATTTTAATTCAAACACATTGCACGAAAAGAGTTCAGAGGTAAATGTGTAATATCATTTTTACTTTCACTTCGACTTCGGCGACTTTCACATTCACTTTTATTTTGATTTTGACGTGACAACGTCTTACTCTGAGGTCTAGGAGCCAGTCAGAAAAATTTAGCTTTCATATCCGCCGGCCAGAACTCGAAAACTATAAGTCATATTTTCAAGATTTTTGTGTTATTCAATTACTTTCGATCTAATCTCGATGCCAAACTTATTTTTGTCAAATTTGGAAATGAAATTTTTTATAATTTTCTATGTTACCGACCGGTTAAAGATTTAACATGTTAGTATACAGCGCCACTGTTGACAGTATCCACTATACCTGTATATATATGAATA